GCGGAAGTGGCGACATGTCACTGACAATTGACAACATGCGACTCATTAAGATTATAGTTCACCACTAAATTTTCTCCGGTTCTTATTGGTTTAAATCGATCACGTGACGCGATAGTGTTCATCCGTGGAGAGACACTATCAGCCCATAGTGCCCGCCCGCGGAAAATACCCGGATGGATAGTGCCCGTCCGCGGAAAATACCTGGATTGATAGTACTCATCCGTGAAAAGTTTTGAATAGTTTGACGGCCGCGAAGTTAGGCAGATCGGAAAAACAGTGACTTTTCAATTCTGACAGGCATACCGTATTATTTAGCCAATGTACGGTTGCGAATTATTGACATTTGTGACAAGCTGTAGGCGCGGAAGAAAATTTAGTGGTGAACAATAAAAACAATAGAGTGTTTATGTCTCGGAACTATCGGTCTGACAGTTGCCCCTTGGAAATTTGATGTTCTTAAAACTAGCATATTTGTTTTAAGAACATCAAATTTCCGCGGGGCAACCATCAGCCGATAGTTCCTCGACAGAAACACTCTATTGTTTAAATAGTACTGTCTTTAACTCTTTAACTCAAGTTAGTAATTCTCCCAACTGACTGCCATACACATCCTCGTAAAGAAGACAAGGGAATTTGGTTTTATATCAAGACAACATCCTCAAGCGGATTAAGTTGTGTTCTCATCAGCTGTTCGGGGGGTGCTGCACTGGAATCACAGGAAGAAAATAGAGGTTAATCATTTATGGAAGTTTAAAGGTCAAAGGGACGTGATTGTCTCAATAGCAGATCAAGAAGGTCCAGGGGTCCGCCCCCCACCCCTCCCCTCCCCTTCAATTACGTAGACGAAAATAAATGTTTAAAGTTCCACCATGGAACAATCTGAGTCTTCCGTGAGAAATCGAACCCCACCATCTTTCTTGCTTCGTTTACCTTTCTTTTGAGCTGCTAGTTCATCAAGAAGCATGCTCTGTTTGTCCAGTTCCGATATAAAGTATTCTTTATCTTCATCCGCCTTAAGGACAACATCCTAGAAAAGAACAACCGACGGAAGATTTTTCCCAAATCCAGGACGACACAGATGTTTCACTATCATCCAATTTACAATCGTTTACTCAGTCGCCAAGCCAAGCTTAATATGACTTTATTGCCCTTCCAACTTTGCTGCTTTTGTTAGGAAATTCCCTTGGGCTAACTTTTACCCCGTCTCTATCTAAAGGGATAGACTTCGCTTTCATAAAATAGAGGCCTCGTTACATGTAAAATGACACGTGATCAAAGGTGACACAAACCCGTATTCTCTTTTGGCTCCATTCCGCTTGTTCTTTAAGTCTGCGCTCCGACTGAAGGCGAGCCTTCAGCTCTTCCGAGAGCCATCGAAATTTCCCCTTTAAAAACAAAAACAAACAATTTCCGCCAAAAAGAAGGTAAAACTGCTACTGATCCGGCAGAGGCGGATCCAAGAAATTTTTTATTGGGGGGTCAACCTTTAATTCAGAAGACATAAATTTTTTTCGCGATTACTTCTCAACCACCACCTCTAGAAAACAAGAAACACGAGATTAAAAGAAATTCTACTCACTATCATCTCAGCAATCCAGTTTTGAGAATTATTTCTTATGCTTCCACTGGAGAAGAGAGACTGGAAACAAATAACTTTGGTTAGAAACTGTTCCTCTTTCGCACAATTGTTCACTTCCAACAAACCCTGTAATAGGTCTAGTTTCATCCACTCCCCTCTATAACCACACGAACACAGAATGTCTGACAGACAGACTGTCTGATTTACTACACTGGTTGTCTGACGGACAGACTGACTGACTAATAAACTGTCTGTCTGCCTGACTTACTCTCACTTAGTCACAGACCTACTGACCGTCAGACCAGCTGAAAAATTGAAGTGCTCACCGGAAGAGGCATGTCTGAGTCCCTGCAGACCTGCTCAATAAGTCGATCCAGCTGGTCGTCCAACTTTTGCAGTCCAGACTACGACAAGACAAAGAAAAAAAATTGGTTTCCACTTTCTAATTGCAATCCGTTCTCCTGATGCTTAGTGAACCTTTTTTTTCTTCTTGGTTTATCATTTCTCTTTCGTTTTTCCTACCTTACTGAGTTCATAGTTAGACTACGAGCAGCCCCGCCCCNGTTAGAGGGTTAATTTCCTGTTATTAAATCAGTACTTCTGGTTTCTGGTTCATCACAGAGCATCTCAATAGTCCTTTTTACAGTTGTGGGCTTGGTGGCCAAGCCTTTGAACAGGAGTGAGGCTAAGGGTGACCTTGTTATGATAGAGATGTTGCTGCTTTTCAAATGCAAATTTCTTTGTTATCATGCTAACTAGATACAGGTCTCTATCACAACAGGGTCACCCTTCGCCTCACTCCTGTTCAAAGGCTTGGCCACCAAGCCCACAACTGTAAATGGACTATTAAGAACTGAATAAGAACACACCAAATCAACCAAACAAGCAGGAAAGAATGTGACAAATGGAAACCATTGAAAGCTTGTAACCGTGAGACACTCTTCAACCCAGGTTCGCAGTCTTCTTCAGAAAAAAATTTCAAGGAATTTTCCAAGACCAGGCTTGAATTTTCCAGGACTCCAAATTTCACCTCACACCCTTTCATTCCCATGATTTCCAAATCAATTCTCCTTACGGTCTACACACATTTTTTATAACGTTAATTCTGAAAACTTATTTCTTAATTTAAGCAGATTTCCAGGACTTTCCAGGACAAGAAGCGCACAACCCTGAAAGGTAATAGGCTTCTGGTAGGATCTATAGTCTTTTTCCAGGACTTCCCAGTCCAAGAAAATGTCAAAATAAAATTCCAGGACTTTCCAGGTTTTCCAAGACCAGTGCGAACCCTGTCAGCCCAACCTTTGGGTTAAATTACTGCACGTACTTACACATTGAATTCAGTGTTAAGTTTTTCCATTTCCTCTCTGTCTTTTTCTTGGCGTTTTCGTAAGGCTTTTATAGTTGACTTCTCATCCGCAAGTTGAATCTGTGTGAAAGACCATACACGATAGTTGATGAAAGTTCCCGGAAAGGTCATTTTTTTATCGCAATGTAAAGGCATAGCAGCACGATTTACCTTAATGTCGGCGATTTGATCTTCTATTTCACCTCTTTCTTTATGTGACTTTTTAGCAGCGTCTTGTAGAGCTTGTTCGTGGTTAGTCTAAAATATAACGGTAAAAAGACAGAAAGTTCTTGAAACAGAAGTGTACAGTACCGTTCACCAGTATGTATTCTTCGCTAAGCGCAGACAAAAAAAAGTACCGATACGAACCGTGAGAGCCTGGATCTGCTCCTCAAGCTCTCTCAAGGCATTCGTGTGGGCATCCCGTTCCTGACAAGAAGTATTTGAATAGAATTCAGCATCTTATAAAATTGGGATGGAAATGATTTTCACTTAAAGGGATTTCGTACTTGTTGTAGCTGAGCATAAAGCGAAGCAGCTTCTTCCTTTGAAGCTCTATCCTGCTGTCTAGCTTCTAAAATTCGCTGTTCATAACCCTGTATGAAAAAAAAAAAAAAAAAAAAAAAAAAAAAAAAAAAAAAACCCTGTATGATGTGAAAGGCTCGTGATTAGTAACCATCTGAAAGCAGAGCGAGTCCAACCCAACCCTTCCCTTCCAGGAAACAGGTTCCCTGCCGCGCGAAGTACAAAGAGCTTTTCTTTTGAACTGGCCTTGATAAATAATCCGACTGGGTCTCTCACCGCTCAACCATACTCAGTTGCATACATTAAGAACCCTGGAGTAAGTTTCTTGTTTCATCATTTCGTGTTCAACATGCCGAACGATGAAAGTATAAAAAATTCTTTAAATATCACATCGTAACCAAATTTAAAAGCATTCTGAAGATTAGTCTTAGAAGTCAACCCACCCCACCCCCACCCCCTCGGAATAAACCCAATGACCTTCTCATCAATAGCACGTCGAAGAATTTATACTGAAATCTTACAATAACTGTTTCAGTTTGGAGAATGAAATGGTCCTGTAATCATAATTTCTAGTCCCTTCTTCTCACCTGCCGTTGTTCGGCTTCCTCTTGGAGCTTGGACACTAGTTTGGCGACTTTAGCTCGCAGTTCTTTGATTTCCCTCAGCTCTTTCTAAAACAAATTAGAACCAAACGATTCAAATAAGTGCGATAAGAATATCTTAAAACGATTACAAATCATCCATCACGAAAGGCTTAAACACTTTGCAATTCTAAAAGAAGCAAAGGTCAGATAACAACAAAAGAAAACTCATTAAAAAAGCCGGAATCCCATTTCACTCATTACCCAAATCTTAATTCATATCAGCTTTTGTAATCGTTACGGTGGCCAATTTACCATTTCAACTTTGTTGATATATCCAAATTATTTCGTTACCCCCACCGACGCAGCCCCAAACAGTTTCTTTAGAAACTATCAGCCTTTATTAATTGATATCAGTTCTCGTTGCCTTAAATGACGGACGAAATTAACACAATTTCCACGGATGAAGTAACTTAAGTACGTTAAGCCTCAAAAGAATGCAACAAAATAACCCAAGCAATTCAAAACATAGTAAAGAATGATAAATTCAATGAGATAAATACCACTGGTTCGTGTGACTGAGCTGCGAGTCCCTGTACCGCTTCTCTTTCCAGTTTCTTGCATTTAGTACGATACCTAAAAACAAGTAAGTCCATTGATTGATAGAATAAAGAAGCACCTTAAAATAAAATAAAATAATTAATTCGTCTTTATTAAAAAACCATCCGATAGAATTACATATCTGATGTTACAGTTGAAATATATATTGATGGAAAAAATTACAATGATTAAATCGAATAAAAATGAATAAAAACGATTCAAAATGATTAGAAATACATACGGGGTGTTTACACAGCTAGACTATATTTATAAATTAATCTATTAAAAAAGCTATGTTTAAAACGTTTAGTGTTAATGCTGGGCTGACAATGGATTTCCTTCGAATGTTTACAATATAGTCTTTGTACCTTGGGAGTAGGCTTTTAAATGGATGGTCATCATGTTTGAGGTTATAAAAAAGGCGTCTGTCGCTTTTCTCCAAAAGTTCAGATATGTTGTAATTGACCGATGTATAGCGCCTCTTATAGCATCTTTTTGAAAACCTTTGTATAACAGTAAGTTCGGAAACACTTGCAGCATAAACTGAAAGACCGTATAATAACTTAGGGATCACAATTGAATTAAAGAGGTGCTCTAATTCGTCTTCTGTATATCCTTAGTACAACAGAAGTAAGCCGTTAGGGTTTGCGCTCGAGTCGAACGGCTCTCCAGTAGGAGCTTACTACGGTTTCTGTAGCAAAGAGCGATAGGAAATTATTGTTACTCCCATTGGATGGGAACCCAGTCCATCACCGGTTACTATGGCTTTCTTATGTATGGCGCTCCGCTAGCGCGCTTTATGTACAAACACTACGATAAAAAATACGTACTCTTTTATTGATTGCAGAGCTTTATTCCTCAGTTCCGTTCTTTTCTTGTCGCTCTCTTTCAGCTGGTTCTCTTTGTCCTCCAGTTGTCCTTCCAGTTCTTGCACATCTTTATTCGCCTCTTTGAGTTTCTTATTCACAGCCTCCAGTTCGTTCATATATCGTTTCTTTTGTTGTTCGCTCTCTTCATATTTGGTCAGCAGTTCCCGCATTTGGCTGAGTAACCTCTCCTGCTGCTCGTCCTTCCGATCCATGTCCTGGTGCAGATGTTCCAAGTTGTT